ATCGTTCCTTAACTTTCTTAGGGCTTCTCGATGCTGTTTAGTCAGTAAACTCTTACTAGAATGACTATTGTTTTTATACTGTTGACAGCTGTCGACTAGTGTTGTTTTGAACCTAGCGACTTCATCGTCTGATGTTGGGGTTAAATCTTTCGTTTGTAGGAGGAAGTTTTCAAACTGGATGTTGGTATCGAGTTGGTTGACCTTATACCCTTGGTCACAAAATCTAGGACCCAATGATAATGCTTCTAACTGTAATTTATCTAATGTTACACTTGAAAAATTATGGACATACCGATACGGGTCTGAAGGGAATGAAGGGGAATCCTTTTCAGGATTTTGACTGTCTAATGATTTGACAAGTTTCGTTCTCCTTTTCTCTGCTCTATTTTGACTAACACTGTCGACATACTCAATGAAATCAAATAATAAATCCTGAGGAAGTTCATCGACTGCATATTTCTTCTGTGATAAATTTCTTTCTATATCCGAAATGTACATTTTTAAAGAGTCCAATTGGTTAAGTGCATAACGTTTCAGTGATCGGGAATTTGGATAAACTTTATTACGACGAAGAGATTTCCAATAAATTTTAGGATATCGATTATTATTTAAACAGTCATTTATAAAATCTAAACAAGTTTTCGCTTCCGTGAGTCTGGCATTATACTTCAAGTACTCATTGAGTGCCTTTAATGCACTGGGATCCACACGTGATTTCAAATCTTTAAATATTCCCATTTATAATATTAGAACAAGACATATAAGCGAACAATATTGTTTTCAATTAGATCTTCTTCAGGCTTTACTCTAATTTACATAGACTTATATATATAAAATTTTAACCAATGACGGTGATTTAGTGGATCAAATAATAATAGTAATCATAATAATACAAATAATAATAATAGTAATAATAATGTGGTAAATGTTTTGAACGAAGTTAATAACGATGATTATAATAATAACAAAATATTGTTAATAAGGCTTATATAGGTGATAAGAATAACAAAGTTAGTATATGCATATATGTAGACAATTCAATAAATAAATAAATTAGGTCAAATCAAATGGAACGATAATCAGAGTTTAAATAAATATCATAAAAGTACGAAGGAGAGGGATGATAAGAAAGGGTGGGAGGGTTTTGAATAGAATTCACCTAGGCCAAGGGAGAGACAAAGGTAGAACAAATTTCTTTTGTATACAAAGACTAGGATTGTTCTCTCGAATTCCCATAGCTTCGGCTAAGTGTAAAAGTCGGGTTCTGATTCCGTTCGAAAGGCTTGATGGAATGCGGTAAATAACTTTGAAAGCACTATTTTTGTCCACTTGGTGACCACTATCAATCAAATGTGCCAAAATAGAACTTCGTATGGACTTTATTTGACCTTTTCCGAACCATGAAGGAAGATGCTCATTAATGCGTTTGTTAAGCTGCCTAGTTGTTCGGCCTATATAGCTTTCTCCACAGGAGCAACTAAATTTATAAATACACATGGAAGTGGCACAACTCGGTAACTTATCTTTCACTTGAGCAATCAAAATTGGCCGGCTGGAAAATGACAAACAGAGGGTGGCGGCAGTATAAGTCCGTTTTATCGCTCTCGATAATCTCTGATGTAAGACTTCACTAGCCACGTCCCCATTAAATTGCAGTTTGATGAACAGTTGTTTCTTTTTAACTGTTATCGGTTTCTCTTTATTGTACTTCGCATTCATGTGTCTCCTGACAAATCTACTAGGATAACCCATTTGGACTAACGTATTTTGGATGTATCCTAGCTCATTCTCTAGAGAGTCATCTGTACAGATGCGTCTTGCTCTATTCGTCAGGCATCTGACCAAATTGATTTTGTAACGGATTGGTACATAACTGAGGAAATGTGTATATTGTCCTACAGATGTAGGTTTTCTATAGACATCTCTCTTTAGTGAACCATCCTCTCTTCTGCTCAATTGGACGTCAAGAAAATGTAGTCCACCATCATATTCTTCTTCACAAGTGAAGATAAGCGATGGATGTGCATCGTTAAACTTTTTTAACATTTCATTCTTGTCAGCTTTCACATCAAGAATAATAAAGGTATCATCAACATAACGAAAATAAGAATCAGCTTTTTCTATTACTTTTTTCAATGGACCATTTTCAATCTTGGCAAGAAAGAAATCTGCTAAAATTGGCCCCAACGGAGAACCCATGGCAATACCGTCGATTTGCCTGTAGTAAAGGTTGTTAAATATGAAATGTACATTCATAGTACATCTTAAAAGCAACTCTTTCAGACTACTAACCGGTATTCCGATGTCGATCTGTTTTTCTAGTATCTGTTGGCATATGAATTCCACAGTCTCCATAAGTGGTACATTGGTAAACAGTGATGCTACATCGAGGGAAAGCATTTGCTTTCCATTTACATTAATATCATCCACGTTAGCAATAAATTCAAAAATATCTTTAACACTATGGTTTACTACCATCTTGTGTAATGGCTGGAGGAGTTCACCTAGCCACTTTGCCACTCCATGGTAGGTAGAGTTTGACATATCCAGGACTGGATGAAGAGGAAGTCCTGGTTTATGTATTTTGGGCAGACCGTACAGACGTGAAGTATTACTTCCAGTAGGTTTAAGACGGTTATATGCTGCCTCTGAGATTATTCCGCTTTTTCTCAGTTCCTTAAGCGTGTTGGTTAACTGCTTTTCAGCCTTTCCGTCCAGATCTATTGGGTTCATAAGGTTTTGGAACTTAGTTTCATCATTTAGAAGCGAATTCATTTTGTCTACATAATCACACTTATTCATCAATACTACTCCGTCTCCTTTATCAGGTCTACTGATTATAATGCTTTCATCGTTCCTTAACTTTCTTAGGGCTTCTCGATGCTGTTTAGTCAGTAAACTCTTACTAGAATGACTATTGTTTTTATACTGTTGACAGCTGTCGACTAGTGTTGTTTTGAACCTAGCGACTTCATCGTCTGATGTTGGGGTTAAATCTTTCGTTTGTAGGAGGAAGTTTTCAAACTGGATGTTGGTATCGAGTTGGTTGACCTTATACCCTTGGTCACAAAATCTAGGACCCAATGATAATGCTTCTAACTGTAATTTATCTAATGTTACACTTGAAAAATTATGGACATACCGATACGGGTCTGAAGGGAATGAAGGGGAATCCTTTTCAGGATTTTGACTGTCTAATGATTTGACAAGTTTCGTTCTCCTTTTCTCTGCTCTATTTTGACTAACACTGTCGACATACTCAATGAAATCAAATAATAAATCCTGAGGAAGTTCATCGACTGCATATTTCTTCTGTGATAAATTTCTTTCTATATCCGAAATGTACATTTTTAAAGAGTCCAATTGGTTAAGTGCATAACGTTTCAGTGATCGGGAATTTGGATAAACTTTATTACGACGAAGAGATTTCCAATAAATTTTAGGATATCGATTATTATTTAAACAGTCATTTATAAAATCTAAACAAGTTTTCGCTTCCGTGAGTCTGGCATTATACTTCAAGTACTCATTGAGTGCCTTTAATGCACTGGGATCCACACGTGATTTCAAATCTTTAAATATTCCCATTTATAATATTAGAACAAGACATATAAGCGAACAATATTGTTTTCAATTAGATCTTCTTCTGGCTTTATTCTTTTTTTTTTTTTTTTTTTTTTTTTTTTTTTTTTTTTTTTTTTTTTTTTTTTTTTTTTTTTTTTTTTTTTTTTTTTTTTTTTTTTTTTTTTTTTTTTTTTTTTTTTTTTTTTTTTTTTTTTTTTTTTTTTTTTTTTTTTTTTTTTTTTTTTTTTTTTTTTTTTTTTTTTTTTTTTTTTTTTTTTTTTTTTTTTTTTTTTTTTTTTTTTTTTTTTTTTTTTTTTTTTGGGCTTAAAATCATCCTTATTAACTTCGTTCAAAACATTTACCACATTATTAGTACTATTATTATTATTTGTATTATTATGATTACTATTATTATTTGATCCACTAAATCACCGTCATTGGTTAAAATTTTATATATATAAGTCTATGTAAATTAGAGTAAAGCCTGAAGAAGATCTAATTGAAAACAATATTGTTCGCTTATATGTCTTGTTCTAATATTATAAATGGGAATATTTAAAGATTTGAAATCACGTGTGGATCCCAGTGCATTAAAGGCACTCAATGAGTACTTGAAGTATAATGCCAGACTCACGGAAGCGAAAACTTGTTTAGATTTTATAAATGACTGTTTAAATAATAATCGATATCCTAAAATTTATTGGAAATCTCTTCGTCGTAATAAAGTTTATCCAAATTCCCGATCACTGAAACGTTATGCACTTAACCAATTGGACTCTTTAAAAATGTACATTTCGGATATAGAAAGAAATTTATCACAGAAGAAATATGCAGTCGATGAACTTCCTCAGGATTTATTATTTGATTTCATTGAGTATGTCGACAGTGTTAGTCAAAATAGAGCAGAGAAAAGGAGAACGAAACTTGTCAAATCATTAGACAGTCAAAATCCTGAAAAGGATTCCCCTTCATTCCCTTCAGACCCGTATCGGTATGTCCATAATTTTTCAAGTGTAACATTAGATAAATTACAGTTAGAAGCATTATCATTGGGTCCTAGATTTTGTGACCAAGGGTATAAGGTCAACCAACTCGATACCAACATCCAGTTTGAAAACTTCCTCCTACAAACGAAAGATTTAACCCCAACATCAGACGATGAAGTCGCTAGGTTCAAAACAACACTAGTCGACAGCTGTCAACAGTATAAAAACAATAGTCATTCTAGTAAGAGTTTACTGACTAAACAGCATCGAGAAGCCCTAAGAAAGTTAAGGAACGATGAAAGCATTATAATCAGTAGACCTGATAAAGGAGACGGAGTAGTATTGATGAATAAGTGTGATTATGTAGACAAAATGAATTCGCTTCTAAATGATGAAACTAAGTTCCAAAACCTTATGAACCCAATAGATCTGGACGGAAAGGCTGAAAAGCAGTTAACCAACACGCTTAAGGAACTGAGAAAAAGCGGAATAATCTCAGAGGCAGCATATAACCGTCTTAAACCTACTGGAAGTAATACTTCACGTCTGTACGGTCTGCCCAAAATACATAAACCAGGACTTCCTCTTCGTCCAGTCCTGGATATGTCAAACTCTACCTACCATGGAGTGGCAAAGTGGCTAGGTGAACTCCTCCAGCCATTACACAAGATGGTAGTAAACCATAGTGTTAAAGATGTTTTTGAATTTATTGCTAACGTGGATGATATTAATGTAAATGGAAAGCAAATGCTTTCCCTCGATGTAGCATCACTGTTTACCAATGTACCACTTATGGAGACTGTGGAATTCATATGCCAACAGATACTAGAAAAACAGATCGACATCGGAATACCGGTTAGTAGTCTGAAAGAGTTGCTTTTAAGATGTACTATGAATGTACATTTCATATTTAACAACCTTTACTACAGGCAAATCGACGGTATTGCCATGGGTTCTCCGTTGGGGCCAATTTTAGCAGATTTCTTTCTTGCCAAGATTGAAAATGGTCCATTGAAAAAAGTAATAGAAAAAGCTGATTCTTATTTTCGTTATGTTGATGATACCTTTATTATTCTTGATGTGAAAGCTGACAAGAATGAAATGTTAAAAAAGTTTAACGATGCACATCCATCGCTTATTTTCACTTGTGAAGAAGAATATGATGGTGGACTACATTTTCTTGACGTCCAATTGAGCAGAAGAGAGGATGGTTCACTAAAGAGAGATGTCTATAGAAAACCTACATCTGTAGGACAATATACACATTTCCTCAGTTATGTACCAATCCGTTACAAAATCAATTTGGTCAGATGCCTGACGAATAGAGCAAGACGCATCTGTACAGATGACTCTCTAGAGAATGAGCTAGGATACATCCAAAATACGTTAGTCCAAATGGGTTATCCTAGTAGATTTGTCAGGAGACACATGAATGCGAAGTACAATAAAGAGAAACCGATAACAGTTAAAAAGAAACAACTGTTCATCAAACTGCAATTTAATGGGGACGTGGCTAGTGAAGTCTTACATCAGAGATTATCGAGAGCGATAAAACGGACTTATACTGCCGCCACCCTCTGTTTGTCATTCTCCAGCCGGCCAATTTTGATTGCTCAAGTGAAAGATAAGTTACCGAGTTGTGCCACTTCCATGTGTATTTATAAATTTAGTTGCTCCTGTGGAGAAAGCTATATAGGCCGAACAACTAGGCAGCTTACCAAACGCATTAATGAGCATCTTCCTTCATGGTTCGGAAAAGGTCAAATAAAGTCCATACGAAGTTCTATTTTGGCACATTTGATTGATAGTGGTCACCAAGTGGACAAAAATAGTGCTTTCAAAGTTATTTACCGCATTCCATCAAGCCTTTCGAACGGAATCAGAACCCGACTTTTACACTTAGCCGAAGCTATGGGAATTCGAGAGAACAATCCTAGTCTTTGTATACAAAAGAAATTTGTTCTACCTTTGTCTCTCCCTTGGCCTAGGTGAATTCTATTCAAAACCCTCCCACCCTTTCTTATCATCCCTCTCCTTCGTACTTTTATGATATTTATTTAAACTCTGATTATCGTTCCATTTGATTTGACCTAATTTATTTATTTATTGAATTGTCTACATATATGCATATACTAACTTTGTTATTCTTATCACCTATATAAGCCTTATTAACAATATTTTGTTATTATTATAATCATCGTTATTAACTTCGTTCAAAACATTTACCACATTATTATTACTATTATTATTATTTGTATTATTATGATTACTATTATTATTTGATCCACTAAATCACCGTCATTGGTTAAAATTTTATATATATAAGTCTATGTAAATTAGAGTAAAGCCTGAAGAAGATCTAATTGAAAACAATATTGTTCGCTTATATGTCTTGTTCTAATATTATAAATGGGAATATTTAAAGATTTGAAATCACGTGTGGATCCCAGTGCATTAAAGGCACTCAATGAGTACTTGAAGTATAATGCCAGACTCACGGAAGCGAAAACTTGTTTAGATTTTATAAATGACTGTTTAAATAATAATCGATATCCTAAAATTTATTGGAAATCTCTTCGTCGTAATAAAGTTTATCCAAATTCCCGATCACTGAAACGTTATGCACTTAACCAATTGGACTCTTTAAAAATGTACATTTCGGATATAGAAAGAAATTTATCACAGAAGAAATATGCAGTCGATGAACTTCCTCAGGATTTATTATTTGATTTCATTGAGTATGTCGACAGTGTTAGTCAAAATAGAGCAGAGAAAAGGAGAACGAAACTTGTCAAATCATTAGACAGTCAAAATCCTGAAAAGGATTCCCCTTCATTCCCTTCAGACCCGTATCGGTATGTCCATAATTTTTCAAGTGTAACATTAGATAAATTACAGTTAGAAGCATTATCATTGGGTCCTAGATTTTGTGACCAAGGGTATAAGGTCAACCAACTCGATACCAACATCCAGTTTGAAAACTTCCTCCTACAAACGAAAGATTTAACCCCAACATCAGACGATGAAGTCGCTAGGTTCAAAACAACACTAGTCGACAGCTGTCAACAGTATAAAAACAATAGTCATTCTAGTAAGAGTTTACTGACTAAACAGCATCGAGAAGCCCTAAGAAAGTTAAGGAACGATGAAAGCATTATAATCAGTAGACCTGATAAAGGAGACGGAGTAGTATTGATGAATAAGTGTGATTATGTAGACAAAATGAATTCGCTTCTAAATGATGAAACTAAGTTCCAAAACCTTATGAACCCAATAGATCTGGACGGAAAGGCTGAAAAGCAGTTAACCAACACGCTTAAGGAACTGAGAAAAAGCGGAATAATCTCAGAGGCAGCATATAACCGTCTTAAACCTACTGGAAGTAATACTTCACGTCTGTACGGTCTGCCCAAAATACATAAACCAGGACTTCCTCTTCGTCCAGTCCTGGATATGTCAAACTCTACCTACCATGGAGTGGCAAAGTGGCTAGGTGAACTCCTCCAGCCATTACACAAGATGGTAGTAAACCATAGTGTTAAAGATGTTTTTGAATTTATTGCTAACGTGGATGATATTAATGTAAATGGAAAGCAAATGCTTTCCCTCGATGTAGCATCACTGTTTACCAATGTACCACTTATGGAGACTGTGGAATTCATATGCCAACAGATACTAGAAAAACAGATCGACATCGGAATACCGGTTAGTAGTCTGAAAGAGTTGCTTTTAAGATGTACTATGAATGTACATTTCATATTTAACAACCTTTACTACAGGCAAATCGACGGTATTGCCATGGGTTCTCCGTTGGGGCCAATTTTAGCAGATTTCTTTCTTGCCAAGATTGAAAATGGTCCATTGAAAAAAGTAATAGAAAAAGCTGATTCTTATTTTCGTTATGTTGATGATACCTTTATTATTCTTGATGTGAAAGCTGACAAGAATGAAATGTTAAAAAAGTTTAACGATGCACATCCATCGCTTATTTTCACTTGTGAAGAAGAATATGATGGTGGACTACATTTTCTTGACGTCCAATTGAGCAGAAGAGAGGATGGTTCACTAAAGAGAGATGTCTATAGAAAACCTACATCTGTAGGACAATATACACATTTCCTCAGTTATGTACCAATCCGTTACAAAATCAATTTGGTCAGATGCCTGACGAATAGAGCAAGACGCATCTGTACAGATGACTCTCTAGAGAATGAGCTAGGATACATCCAAAATACGTTAGTCCAAATGGGTTATCCTAGTAGATTTGTCAGGAGACACATGAATGCGAAGTACAATAAAGAGAAACCGATAACAGTTAAAAAGAAACAACTGTTCATCAAACTGCAATTTAATGGGGACGTGGCTAGTGAAGTCTTACATCAGAGATTATCGAGAGCGATAAAACGGACTTATACTGCCGCCACCCTCTGTTTGTCATTCTCCAGCCGGCCAATTTTGATTGCTCAAGTGAAAGATAAGTTACCGAGTTGTGCCACTTCCATGTGTATTTATAAATTTAGTTGCTCCTGTGGAGAAAGCTATATAGGCCGAACAACTAGGCAGCTTACCAAACGCATTAATGAGCATCTTCCTTCATGGTTCGGAAAAGGTCAAATAAAGTCCATACGAAGTTCTATTTTGGCACATTTGATTGATAGTGGTCACCAAGTGGACAAAAATAGTGCTTTCAAAGTTATTTACCGCATTCCATCAAGCCTTTCGAACGGAATCAGAACCCGACTTTTACACTTAGCCGAAGCTATGGGAATTCGAGAGAACAATCCTAGTCTTTGTATACAAAAGAAATTTGTTCTACCTTTGTCTCTCCCTTGGCCTAGGTGAATTCTATTCAAAACCCTCCCACCCTTTCTTATCATCCCTCTCCTTCGTACTTTTATGATATTTATTTAAACTCTGATTATCGTTCCATTTGATTTGACCTAATTTATTTATTTATTGAATTGTCTACATATATGCATATACTAACTTTGTTATTCTTATCACCTATATAAGCCTTATTAACAATATTTTGTTATTATTATAATCATCGTTATTAACTTCGTTCAAAACATTTACCACATTATTAGTACTATTATTATTATTTGTATTATTATGATTACTATTATTATTTGATCCACTAAATCACCGTCATTGGTTAAAATTTTATATATATAAGTCTATGTAAATTAGAGTAAAGCCTGAAGAAGATCTAATTGAAAACAATATTGTTCGCTTATATGTCTTGTTCTAATATATCCTTGTGGTTGAACACACTGCCACCGATCACCACATCATTGAAGGCGAAGACGTCTGAGAAGAGTTCACCATTTTCGTTCATTTCACCGACGGCCTCACGACCCATGGTGTGTTCTCTTCCTGTGTTTTCTCCTCGCAGCTTCGCATTCATGTCGCTCATCAGGATTTCGATATCGCCATTTGGGTCGTTGTCCATTAGTGTTTGTAGTTGTCTGAAGAACGCCTCTATCTTCTCAGTTATGAGCGATTACCATTGCTGCAGTCTTGAAACTGCAGTCATGAATCCAGAGTATCATTCTGTTGGAGTGAAAGTAGGTGGAACAGCTTCACCTCGTAGTGAAGGTGGACCAACAATTCGATTCAATTCTGTCGACATGTATGACTGGAATGCAATGATCGCAGAATCACATGTGATTTCTCCCCGGGTGTTCCAGACACTGGACTATCACAGAGCAACGGAAGTGGTTTCAACAGGTGATTTGCTTTTAATACTTGGTTGGTTGGCTGGTTGTTTGTTTTACTCGGTCTGTTGCTACTTATATATATATATATTTATCAATCATTATCTGTTGGCTTATAAAGATACGTGAATGACAGCTAGAAAGAGTGAGGGAGAGAAAGAGAGTGAATCACTCATTTTTTAGTACACGTGCTAACTAACTATTCCTTGTAATACACCTTTCTTCACTATGCTTCTCAGTGTATAACTTGGAATGCATGTAAGTGGAAGGAAGGAAGGAATGAGGGAAGTAGTCCTTTAATGCCATTGGTTATCATTATAATTTACAGTCTGGAGAAACACACTTAATACTGGGGCCGGCTTATCTGAGTGGTCGGCTTCTAATCGTTCACTTGTGTATCACAGATTCTGATTCACCATACTCAGTCTCAGTAGTCAGTGAGTATCGGTTTAACGCATGCATCGTTTTTCGTGACTAATTGAGTTCCGATTGGGGCGTCGAGCTACAAGCTTTGAGATTTGAAGTTTGGGGCGAGCTAGTGGTGTGATATTTCTGCTGAAATATTCTCCCGAATACATCACACATAATAGCTGAAAACGATTCCCATGACAGACGCTTAGTTGACCTGCATAGAGTGGAGAAGATTATTGAGAATTGAGCAAATGCTTTGCGTATCTGTTCATCACTTGGCATCAGTGCTTACTTTCCCAGCAAATTTCATTACCAACAGTTAGTCTGAAGAGTGAGGAGTAAACAAATATCCTTCGAAAAGTGAATTTGATCGGCCAATGTCGTTGACACTGGTATTTTAGTCAGTCATGTCGCTAGTTCTGCATTTTATACGTCAAACATTTGAAGGTAGAAAGGATTTCATCGAGAAGTGATTGATTGCTTTACATACTACTTGTCAGGAGAATGAATAGTGGAATGAATATAAATTTAATCATTCATTCACCTAACGCGACTATCGATCGTTAGCTGATGTATTCAACTGTGAGTGGAACACCGTTGTGTCCACTTCCCCTCTAATAATCAGGAAGAGTAAATGATGGTGAGTGCGTAAATGAATGACCATCTGGCGAGTGAACTTCTCGTTAGTCAGCTACCCGTGTGTTTATCTAATACGCAAAACTGAGGATTATTATGTTTCACATTGCAGGTGCTGCAGACAAGAAAAGTAAAGATGTCTGTTACTGGACAGGAACCTTACCATTAAGAAAAAACATATCAGGAAATATTTCAAGGAAAGTGTTCGTTTACGGGTTGCCATATGGAATAACGGAGTCTGGTATAATGGAGGTGTTTTGTAGATTTGGCCAAATTACCGTCATTTGGCCAAAACCAGATGGTGATCATTTGAGTAGCGAGTATAACAATAGAGGTAAGTCATTTTACTGGTAAACAGTGAGAAGCCTCGTTTCCGCCTACTTTGTTTCACTTGACTGACATTGAAATTATCTCATATTTTAGGTTATTGTTATCTCGTATTTGAAGATGAGGCATGTGTTCTGGAACTTCTGAGGAACTCTTTCAGAATTCGCAGGATAGATAGTGACTTCTACAGAATTCCATTATACAACTTTCCCTTCAGATAAGCGAAGGTGAGGATATATTTTGTCACAGAAATCATGTATTTGCTCTTACCAGTGTTTTGTCTAGTAGTTATGCGTTAATCACAGTGTGACTGACTGACTCACTGACTGACTCAAACTTGAAAGGCAACACTATCCCGCTGAGATAAGACTGTTTGAGGCTTTTGTGGAACTGTCGATACACACTGTCGATGAATCAATCGACTTCCTTGACTTCCTCAGTCCAGTAGGTTATTTGTGATATGCAAATAAATATGCATGTTGCCAACCCATAGGGTTACAAGTGGAAACACTCAGAGGTTAAAGATATTTACTTCTTTCAATTTTGTCTGTCCCTGTGTCTGCTGTCTATCTGGTGTGTATCTATCTATCTCTCTGTCTGTCTGACCGTCTGTCTCTCCGTCTATCCATTTATCTGTCTATCTATCTCTCTGTGTTTTGAGACACAGTTGGCATTGTCTACTTTGCACCAATTGGCATCAGTTGACACTCTGTCGAAACATGTCCTCAGACGAATTGAATAAATGAAATTAGTGAGAGTGCATGCACTTGCCCATTTCAAGAATTTTCAATGTGTGTTTGACTTCAGAGAATTGGCTTCCTTCCACTTGATGTTGTTGAATTATCTGTGAAATAAATTTGGTCAATGCGTTCTTTGTAGGTTCTGGATGTGTACAAAATCAGGCCGGATGGATGAATCAGTATAGCTATATGTATACAATGCACTATAATACCATGTATACAATTGATAAGTGGGGTATTTGAGACAAGAAGAAAGAGGAGAATAAGAGGAAGAAGCGCAAAGAATGAATAACTGTCGTGTTAAATTTAACAGATGGCTTCACCACCTGTTATGTTAGACAAGCATTCATTATTATTATTATTGTTGTATCCTTTAGTTCCTAGAGGAACATAGGGCTTCAGCTGCGCACCTCCATTGACTTCGGTTTTCTGACAACTTTTTCACCCTGCTCCAGGTCTGTCCACATGCTTTCATCTCCTCCTCGCATGACCTCCTCCAAGTCACCCTTGGACGACCAACTCGCCGCCTCTCTTTCGGGTTCCACTCGAGGGCTTGTCTAGTGATGTCACTTGATGGTTTCCTCAGAGTATGGCCAGCCAATCCATCTCCATTTCTTCGTGCCTATTTGTTTCACAATCGGTTCCTGCGGTGTTGGTTCGCTCCCAGAGATCCCTGTTGCTGATCTTTTCTGGCCATCTGATCTTGAGTATTGAGCGGAGACAGTTGTTAATGCAGGTTTGAAGTTTGTTTGAGATGCTCTTTATGACTCGCCAAGTCTTTGATCCGTATAGTAGCACTAACTTCACATTGGAGTTGAAAATCCGGATCTTATTTTTGATGCTGATTGCATTCATAATATGCGTCAATAACTTTGATGCCAATAAAACAGAATTCGTGACTCACACGATGTGACCAGTTTGGAAGAAATGCTCGGAGGAATTTCACAGTGGAATTATTACTGGCCTTAGAATAAATAACACCGAAGTGGCATGGTAGGAATAGACGAATAGAGTAGGAGTGCGTGTCAAATGAGTCTACAAGTCAGTGGTGTCGAATGAAGGGAGGGAGATGAAGGAGAGTAGGACAGATAATCGGCGGTTTGTTAAAGTGAAAGTTCATGCATGTATCAGTCTGATCATTTGCTAACATTGTCCAGCTGAAAATCTCTTCCCCTTCTCATCACAACCACTCTCAGTTTATCTTTAAGCTGAGCCCTCCACACTGGTTGTCACCGTCGTCTGAAGGATAAACTCGCTCACCTGACGAGTGAGTGAGTGAGTCAGTGAGTGTTTGTGTGTGTGTGTGTGTGTGGAGGGTGATATCTTTCTGATGGAATTTAAAAATATGTAATATTTTATTGGTAATCAGTGTTCTGCATCATTCTGAATTCCGTCTAATTCTAGGTTGTACCTTGGAGCATAGAAGACACCAACTACTGCGGGCCAACTGGTAGTTCTGCCAATATGCAGTATGCCATATATGTTGGACAGCTTCATGGTTTGATGACGGCGAAAGGGCTTGCCAACATCATGGATGACCTGTTCGGAAATGTTGTTTCCGCTACCCTCCACACTGATCAATATAAATATCCTACTGGTGAGTTTGTCCAGTTCAGTAGAATGAAGTTTTACCAGTATATGCCTTGGACGAACAGAAGTAGTAAACAAGTGCACACATCGCTGACTCAGTCGACACGATACACCATCTCACACAACATGTGACAATTTTTTTCTTCAAGTACCATTTCTTTCATCGAAATCGAGTGGTACGGAAAATGTGGTGATAAAAATGAATGTGAATGCTGAGCACAGCATAGAGCAGCAAAGAAGTGTCAGTGAAGGCATAGCTCATACACAGCTCAGATTAGCTCCTGGATATTGAACCAACCAACCAACACTGGCTTCTAATCGACTTCCATCAAGTTCGACCTCAGCAGCCATGTAGTATCATTAGACTTCAGACAAAGTTTGGATAACAGTCCTGTCACACATAACACATATTTGTCGAGTTTTCTGTCTTGTGTTTTCTGTTGACTACCAGTGCATGAAAACACTTGGTGTACAACAGAATTTTCAAGAATTCACATGAAATTTCTGCGAATCAATAAATGAATCCAATGACATTCATGCACTTCTCTGACAGCTTCATTGACCATTAGTCGAAATGACGTTTCTTTGTAATATACTATAACATAATAAACGCTTTTCTGCATGCATTTGCCAAACTCGGAGATGGATGCACGTGCAACATTAATCATTTTGTGTATTTCTTGATATTTCAGGTTCTGCGAGAGTAATTTTCTCCAGTAGTGAGAGTTATTTGAAAGCTATCATCACACAATCGATAACCATTCACACCTCAAAATTCACCAAAACTATTCAAGTTCATCCGTATCTGGGGAATACTCTTTGTAATGTATGTTTAAAGTCTCCTGGAATATATTTTTGCAGAGCACTTCAATGTTTCAAATATTTCTGTCTTAGTTGTTGGAATGGATTTCATCAAAATGTAACTGAAAATTTCAGCGAACACAAACCGTTGAAGCGTTAACTGGGGGTAGATTCCTGTGGTAATCAGTCAACGACACCAGCGGCCAAACAATGAACAAGTCGTGAAGACATTGAGAAACTTCGTTTACTTTTTTAATTTTGTTGCAAGAAGCAACAAACTGTACTGCTTACTTCTTACGCCTTGTGTTCAATCCCCTTTCGTTAATCTACCCTCACTTTGCTGGTTCACTCTTTTGTATATATTTAAGGGAATGTTTTGACCAATGTGGAAAATACATTTTCAATTGATCCTCTTCTTTCCTCTTTTTATTCGACTGTTCCTTCACGTCAATTATATCACACATAGAATTGATTATTGTCTTACATCGGGAGGTGTTCAGCACATCTCATATTGACATTTCAATAAGATGAAGAGTTTTTGGTGGGATACCGGCAGTTATTCTCTACTATTTGTCTCTCTGTCGCTATCGCACTTGCTCTCCCTTCTTTCCTGTCAGTAAGGAACTGCACACAAATTAAGCGTCTAAGGACTCGTCAATGTAAGACAACAAACACGTCTGTGGGTGTTAGGCGACGAGTTGACTTTGTGAATCTATATACATGTATCAAGGTGAATAGAAACTGTTGCTGGGTAAGCTTTCACACGATTGTTTCATACATTTTCTGTCTTCGAAATATCCCTTCTCGTACTCATCAACTATGATGTGCTGAACTGTACGCTTTCTTGCACACAGTTAGTCGTTGTGCACAAAAGTGCATCAGAACAACCTTAGCTCGCTTGAATCATTCACCACACATGATGGAGGTTTCAGTCACGTTCAACAGGATATCGTCGGTCTCTAACCATCTTCCAATGACCACTCATGTGTATTCGTCACATGTGTGGACTACTTTACGCGTTGGCCGAAGGCTATCCGTGTGCTGTATACGATAGCCGAAAGAGTGTACCGAGTTTTCATGGAAAGGTAGATTGTTCAGTTTGAATGCTATTTCGAGGCGACAGTCGATCGAGTACAGCAATTTCAGTCTGGAACTATAGGTAAGCATTCAGAACTAGTGGAATAGACACACATTTGAACCAGGTGATAACACCCACCTACTATTCATCCAATTGAACACTTTCATCGTCAATGTAAAGTCTCTCACGAGGCCTCGGACAATGTCGGATAATCTCTGATCCGTATGTTAAGTAGCACTGACTGACTTCACATTGGAGTTGAAAATCCGGATCTTATTATATTCATGCTGAGTATTGCTGTGGATCTCCACACAGACTTGAGAGTAATGATAGCTTGTCTTGCTTTCCCGATGATCCTTGCTTTGATATCCTCGTCATTTATGTCCGCCAGTAGTTGAAACGATGCTTCCCAGTTGGGTAGGTAGGTAAAGGAGGTTGTTTCTCTCAGGTTCCTCCCATTTATGCTGGCTGATTGTTGTCTGTTGATGTTGCTGTTGCTGTCGGGCGGGAATCTTCATCACCACATCTGTTTTCTCTCTGTTCACCTGAAGTCACATCTTCCCTGGATGCTTCTTCTGCCAATTTGTTGCTTTCCAATTGCAAATCTTCCAGTTTTTGGGAAATCAGACATTCATCATTGGCGAAGTCCAGATCCTCCACGTTGTTTTTTGTGTTGGTCCATTTTATTCCGGGTTCCTCGATATCCGCTGTCTGTCGCATTATCCATTTTATCGCAATCACGAAAATCATTGGCGATAGGAGGCAGCCAGCCAGCTTGTCTTACTCCCGTCCTCACTTCGAAGGATTCCGTAAGTTTCCCGTTGTGGATTACTTGGCATGCAGCATTGTCGTACAACTATTGAACGAGATGTATAATTGTCGGTAGCACCCTGTAGTAGCGAAGTAGTGGCCAAATCACCTGTCGATCAACGCTACGCTGTCGGAGGCCTATTCAAAGTCGATGAAATTGAGATAGACAGGTGACTGCCATTTTTAAGCTTCGTTCAATGTTGATCCGTAGTGTGGCGATTTGATCAATACATGACTTGTCTCTCCTGAATCCATCCTGTTCCGGTTGAGGTTTTTCATCCAGGTTGGCGTGTTTGTTGCTCTTCAGAATGATTCGGCTCGGTACTTTGCTTGAGATGGACAGGAGCATAACTCCGCGCTATTTCTCGAAATGACTTAAGTCTCCTTTCTTTGGCAGTTTAGATAAGTATCCTTTCTTCCAATCCATACGCAGCTTGTCCTCTCTCCACAGCTTCTCCAATAATGGTGTCATCATGTCCGCTATCGTCTCTGGGTCCATTTTCAATGATTCTGCTGGGATTCCGTCTGGCCCTGCTTCTTTTCCAACTTTAGGCATCTTGATTGCCTTCAGGACTTCTGTTCTCGTCGGAGGGTTGATGTTCACTGGCAGTTCCGCTTCCGCTTCCGTTGGTATTGTTGGGCGCATTGTAGCTGGCGGTCGATTTAGAAGTCTTTTGGAGTGTTCAGCCCAGTGTTTTCTTTGCTCCACCTCTTTGGTGATTGACTTTCCATTGTCATCTTTCTCTGGCTTAATTTGTGCCGAACTTTTCCCCGATAGGTGCCTAGTTGTTTGGTAGAGTGTGACGAGGTCTCCTTTGCCTGCAGCTTGTTCTGCTTTACTTTCCATGGCTTCATAATATTTTCGTTTGTCTTCTCTGACACTCTTCTTTACTCTTTTGTTCAGTGCATTGTAGCTTGCATTCAACTCCTGTTTTTGTTGCTCGTCGGCTCACTGGATAAAATCTTTTGTTTTACCATCCTTCTATCTTCTACTAGTCTCCAAGTGTCCGTAGTGAGCCACTGTTTGTCCTGTCCCTTCTTTCTGCCTAGAACTTCCATGCAGGTTTGACTCCACACTGTTTTCCAGTTGTCCCAGTGCTTTTCGACGCCGACCTGTTCGCTAGTGTTGACTTGTGTCTCGGCTTCTTTTCTTATGTTTGCAATGAAGATGTCCTTTGTAGCCTGGTCCTTCAGTTTTCGAGCATTGAATTGGCTTGTGGTCTAACTGCAGCTGCTGTTTCTTTGAAAGCTTTTAATTTTGAGCTTCTCTACCCATGATGAGTTCTCTTCCTGTGCTGTCTGGTCCCAGTTTGGCGTTCATCTCTCCCACTAGTATTTTGATGTCACCAGCTGTAGTATTGTCGATTGTTGCCTGTAGTTGTCTGTAGAACTCTTCTTTCTTTCCGAGGTCAGCGTTGTTTTTGGGTGCATAGCATTGTATAACTGACACTTTTCTTTCTTTGGAGTTGAATCTGTTAGTCATTGTCCTGGGTGAGGTCTCTTCCTACTGCATCAGAGCCTTCGTTTCCGTTGGTGACATTGTGATAGCCACGCCCTCAGTGTGTATGTGGTTGTCTTCTGGGTGACCGGAGTATGTCACTAAATCTCCCGATGACAATTTGGTGATTCTATTCCCATTCCATCTGCTTACACATTTTCCCAGTACTTGAATTCCGTATCTTTTCATCTCGTTTGCAATCTGGGTAACTTTGCCATTCTCATATGTGATGTGGACGTTCCATGTCCCCACACAGACATTTTCTTTTGGCGCAAGGAGATTCATGGCGATGAAGTTTTTGTAGCAACTTTGTTTACAGGGTGGCGTTGCTAGTCTCACGTCTTAGAAGCGGGTTGTTATACCTACGTGTAGTTTACAGAGGAGCGTCCTTGTGGGTTGCTCCCCACAGGAATCAGGAAACACAAGGAATAAAACAATCAGAACAACACCAGCAAAATGAAAATAAACATAATCCACAACAGGAGGGGCAGCGACAGCAACATGAAAAGAAAAATGACTGTAGTAGTAGTAGTATCACAGTCAGTTACAGTTAACAAAAATGATACCAAAATCATAGAATCACTGACTTGAGCCAACTAGGACATGTAAATCCATCAATATATACAATTATAGATATTAGGTAGTGTTAAAAAGTCACAAAATGGCTAGTATTATGATATATTATTATTATTTGCTTATACTGACTCATCCAGCCATTTATTGTTCATCACCTGAGAGAGCACATCCGTGTGTACTATGTCTTCTCCCTCTCACACTCTTTCTCTCTCTCTCTCTCTCTCTCTACATACGTATATATACACATGTATAGAGAGAGAGAGAGAGGAAGATCAGAGGCCCTATGTTCCTCTAGGAATTAAAATAATTATATATATATATATATATATTGTATAATAAAGTTTAAGTGGGTAGGGAAGCACTATATAGAAGAGATAAAACATAGTAGAAAGATGTCACACTTAATCAACACACAGGTGTCCTCTCTCAGGTGATGAACATTAAATGGCTGGATGAGTCAGTGCAGGCAAATGACTTCTCAATATACACGAGTTAAAGGGGACAGGGGAGGGGATGGGGGAAGGGAAAGGTGGGGTTGCTAGCCTCACGCCTGAGAAAAGAATGATTACATTAAGTAAAAGTTTAGAGAGAAGCAACTTTTTGGGTTGCTCCCCTCAAAAACCTCTACATAATGAGTTGGTAAAACACAGCGTAAATGGCAGTTTTGAATTTGTTGGAAAAATAAGAGATCTTAATGTGAGGGACAAGTTTATGATATCCTTTGATGTATCCTCCTTGTTCACCAATGTACCGTTAATGGAGACAGTGGATTTTATATGTGAGGAGATCACCACACGAAACATAGACATCGGCATTTCTATATCCACCTTGAAGGAACTTATTTTAAGATGTACAATGAATGTTCATTTCTTATTCAATAAGGAATATTACACACAAATTGATGGTGTAGCTATGGGTTCCCCATTAGGCCCAATCCTAGCTGATTTTTTCCTCGCTAAGTTAGAGAATGGATCACCGAAATGAGTAATTAGTGACTTGGATTTCTACTGTCGATATATGGATGAAACATTTCTGGTCATAAAAAACGAGGACGATGCAATGAACATCCTTGACAAGTTTAATGATGCCCATTCAGCAATAAACTTTACCATAGAGAAAGAAAGTAATGACAGTATCTCATTCCTAGACGTCTTCATGGCAAGGAAAGAAGATGGCGCACTAAGAAGGAGTGTGTACA